TTCCTTCTACGAATATTCTTTTTTTTTTTCTTTCGAGTAAGTTACGAAATAATTCTTTCCCTCCCCCCCGCATCTATTCTACGTCGTTTCAGAAAATTTTAAGATAAATATATATGGCCCGATTCAGCAATTGGCAGAATTATAATTATCATACAAAATTATAAATTTGTCAACGTACCCTGTAGCGTGCTTATCCTATTACAAAATAGTCCTCAACAATGTAAATTTAACTTAATAATAATAATAAATACGAAGTTTTTATGAATACAAAAATGATTTGGGTTTTTTAATTATTATTCGTTATAAGATCCGCACTCGGTATGACAGGTCGCGTTGAGCATAAATATATTCTAGATCCTCGGAAAATAAGACTCTCCAACTGATAATATGACCGTACATTGATTGCCCAATTATTATTATAGTTCCCTTTCTTCATCAAAGATAATTTAGAACTATGATTGATACATCGTACGTCGACGCAACGTTTAACATTCCGTTCCTAGCACAAAGGCATTAATATATTTTGAGTGAAAAGTGATTTTTTTCAATAGAATATTTATCTTTATACGTTTAAATTCTCGATCATTATCTAAACGACGTGATTATTTAGGAGCAAAAAATTTTAATACAGTTCGTCGTTGAAACAATCGTCTTGATCTAAATAATGAAACTGTGAATCAGGTAAACTAAACAAAAATAGCAAAACACTTTGTGTCGTTAATACCATGGCACAATGGACACACTGAAAAATGATGAAATATTCGAGAACAAATTATCAGTGATTTATATGCATGAGTTTCAGGTCAGAAGCGTCATCGCATCCTGATAAAATTGCTTAAATATTGCCAGTTTTAAGACTCCAACTCACGCTTATCTTATATCCGTCATTATGAAATGGCCTCTTTTATAATACAAAAGCATCGGATAAGCACTCAATAGAAGAACTTTCAGCGATTTTAATCCGCCAATGGAATATTACCAAGTCTGAAACAATATAACACCGCCAATTAAGCAACGAATGAACGCAATATGCGCTACCATTAAAAGGCCAATCAAAATATTCCCTCTTTAAGCGCATTCTTCCAGTTAAAGTTTGAGATTAATCATAAAAGACTTTGCTTGATGGAAAAAAGGAAGCGGAAAGGGAAGGTCGTCGTATAATGGATTGAGAGCGCAGGCGCGGGCCGCTTATCCTCACAATTGAGCCGCCTCCTGCGGCGAAGCTCAAGATAAGCTATTCTCGTTACGAATCCCATGAGAGACGCGTCGCTGTCGCTACCGACGACGACGACGACGACGACGACGACGGCTACTTGCCCGTTGCTTCGGACAGCCACTTGCGCGCCTTAAATTACTCGAGCATTGAGCCGCCGGACCCAAGGCCGGACGAGTGAAATTAGGTTCATTAGGTCTCGCGGAGAATCGCAGCTTTTCCGCGGGAATGTCGAGCGAGGGGATTCTCTTCTGGCCGTGCGAAAATCTTTCGACATTGACTTATGTGCTTTGACGATCGTCACCTACGCCATTTAACCGGCGAGCTTTCACTCACTCCCAGCGAGTCACGATATACAATGGCGATTTAATAAATGATTCCGGTCGGACAATATTACCTAATTATTCTCCGATTCGTTCTCGTTCTCGTCTGTCTGCTTTAACGGCGTCGACACAGTGACTCTTTCTTTCCACTCGCTGACTTCCACTCGATTCCGTTGTCATTTGCTTTTATGAGACGTGTCCACTTGAATAAGGAGGCCACCCAAGGATTATATCATTTACTTGTATGCACGTCCACGCAAAAACTGTATTATTTGTTGAGGTAATAAATAACAAAGTAGAGGATGAGTAGGTTAATGGTAATTGTATTGCGAGTAATTTTTCGAAACGTGGGTAACGAGTAGAAGAGCGAGGATTTGTAAAATTAAAATGCATTATGTCGTTATGATATTATGTTGATCGATGTTTGTTGGAAAATGTAAATACTAATTTCATGCGTAATATCATAAATTATACGTGATGATATATGCTTTTCTTTTATTGAAATAGATAATTTTATTGAATGCCTGGATCTAGTCGTAACTAATGATAAAATATTGGCTTTAGGTATTGTAACATAGATAATATATAACTAAATTTCATTTACTTTATATTTCCTTTATAAGCAATACTTATTAATCATTAGCAATATAATAATCATATTAGTTTATCTCTACATTGTACTTATCGGTCATATTTATTATTAATTATTTGTACTTTAATGATTTTTTTTTTTTTTTTTGAGCTTGGCTAATGCAAGTCCGATCAATTAGTTACATTTCATTCGATATTAACTCATTAACTTCTGCTATGATCCATAAATAACGACAAATGAACGACTATCCAAGTACTATTTGTAATAATAAAATTAAAATGTAACGCAAAATTACATCGAATGTAACGTAGACATAAGTCACATACATATATAATACTAAAGCAATCATACGAAGTCCAAGCACGAATAATGACGTAATAAGTTAAGAGCTTACATATTTCATATAATTATATATTTATTCTTAACTTTAATCCAAAATATTAGAGTAATAATAATTATAGTGGCATTCATATTAAAATTTTAAAATAGCAAAATTACAAAATATACTATTATTATTGTTATTATTATTATTGATTATTATTAGAAAAAAATAAAACTTATTGTTACAAATAATCAAGATGAACGTATATGCTGCGCAGTTCCGAAAGACAGAATTAACGATTTAGCATATTTTAACGTGCATCGATCATAAGCGCACGACCACTTGGAATACAACAAAAAACCTATTTGGTCCAATGTTATACATAAAAGAATGAAAGAAAAATGAAAACTTATAAATCTGCCGACGTAAAGAGATTAGGCGATGATAATCGTTGCTAAGTAGCAGTCGCTCGTCCGCAAGATCCACGACGATAATAAGATCACTCGTTTCGCAGCATCCGGCCGTCGGCATCGAGTTCCCTGATATTCTGATACTTACGCCATCGAACAATAAAGCAGCCGTGAAAGATCATCGCGAAAATAACGTAAACCGCAGTCCATTCGCCCCAAGCTCCGAACAAAATTTAGATGAGAGACGTTATCGATTCGTAATCGCGCTGCTCCACCTTCCAAATAGCCCAAAAACAACTTCAATAGCCACGCTGCTTACGTGATATTTTTTTCTAGCTTTGTAATTGTAAGAATTTATCTCCGTGAGTATCGTATTGTCGCTTGTTATGTTAAACTGTTTCTCAAGCTGGTTGATTTTGCAAATAAATCACGAATTTTGACTGCGAAGAGCGCAAATTAGTATAAGATTTTGTTTTCTAATTATTGCTCGATACTATTTGCCCTATTAGGGATGTAAAGCAGCTAAAGATTTAAAAAAAAAAAATATCCTCTTTGTCGGGATGGACGGTGCACGGATAAAATACCAATTTTATATAAAGCATATAAAATTACAAATTTATATGTATCGGTGATATGATCGTGTATCGTAATTTTTCTACGTAAATTGAATATGCTTGATAATCGCACACCCGTCTTATCAAAATCAAAGATATTTTTAAATAATCATAAAATATTATTAATTAATTAATTTACGGAGTTAGGTGAAGTGTGATATAAATACCTCTGCAGCTCAAAAGATTTCTATAATTTTAAAACAACGATTTATCCTTCATTTATCCTCGTATTAAAATAATATCGATCATTCTTTTATTAATTAATAATAAAATAAAAATTAGAAATATAATGTTCTGTTGGAATTTGCGATAACACTGTTTATTTAAAGCGATCACTTTTCATTTACCATCTCTTCTCCTACAGTTAATCAATCTTTTTTTTTCTACTTATAATATCCTAAATATCCATTAAATCTGTTTGATATTACAGAAATTAATTATTATTTATTATTAAATATTATCATTTATTTCTGTGGTAAAGTTTATACGAACTATATTTTACAGCATTTGCATTTTCATTCACATGGCCGTACTTTCGGCCTCCAGGCATATTTCACTTAATGAAAAGTCGTGGCAAACATAAGCGATAATCACAAGATATATTATCTCTTAGTCGTAGATAAGAAGAATAAAAATAAATAAATAAATCAATAGCATATATATATATATATATATATATGTGTGTGTGTGTGTGTGTGTGTGTGTGTGTGTACGGAGCGGATTAAAAATTCACTAATCGCAGAAGGAATTAATCATGAAAATCGATGCTAAGCTCCAAAGTCTCATATTGTTGTTATCAGAAATGGAATAACGTTAAAGAAAATCCTTTGACATAATGAAAAAGAACGTGACAACTGTAATATCCACTACAATTAACCTTATACGCGATTAATCAATGGCTACTCTTAATGAAAAGCTTGGTATCCTCGAATCCTCGCTGACTCAAGGATAAATGCCGAGGACTTCACGAATTCGAAGATGTAAGGCTAATGGTATTAGGCACAATTACCATACCCTAAGCCAAGCTATAAACTACTCTTACCGACATACAATACGTAAAACCACAATATACCGGGTGTAATAATCTTATTGGCGTAGTTACACATTATTACAATTGATTAACGATTACACTCCAAACATCAATATTATGTTCTCATTATAAAAAGTCAAACAATAACGTTGCTGCATAGCAGTCGAAGCCGTTTGTAACTTTAATTCTTGAGAGTATCTTGTATTTACAAAATATAATAATTAACATTGTAATACTTATAAGGAAGCTTACGAGAAGTAAAATAAAATATTGTTAACGAATTCTTCCCCATTTTGTATATCCAGTATTACATTACATTCCTTAGTTTCAAAAATTCATTAAAATTCGTTATTTCGATATTATCACTACAAAGACGAAATAAGCAATATTTTAGTCATAAAATTTAAATAATGAAATAATTGACACGTGTATTTGTGTAACAATTGAAAATTACAAATCTAAAAATCTTATATATATATACAATAGGATTATTTGTTTTAGGAGAGATTTTTGAAAACGCAGTTTTCCATTTGGAATAAAATCACAGAGGCATTACAACTGTTTTGGACTATTATCTTCTTGATTATTCAGTTTTAAATCATTGTGTACTTGCGATGTAATTGTTTTCTTATCCACCTCATCGTTGTCACCGTATAAGTCAATACCTTTTGAGAGGTAACACACAATTAGATCGAAAAATACTCCAACCAAGCACATACCTAAAATAAAAATATAAAAATCATAAGTTTGTTACTAAATATATTTAGTGCATATTTAATAATAATAATAATAATAATAATAATAATAATATATCTTATATCGATTTTTCATTTTTTACATCATAATCATTGTCCGCTATCTAGTTGTTTCATTTATTCAATAATGCAAACTTACTTTTAAATATTTAAGCTTTTAACTTATATATTATATAGGCCGCGCGCGCGTGTGTGTATGTGTCTGTGTATATATATATAGATATATATATATATATATATATATATATATATATATATATATATATATATATATATATGTACTCTTATATATATATATGCGTACTGTATGTATTTCATTTTAAATTTTATTATTATTTCATATTCTATTGGTTGTGTACTTGACGGTAAGAGCGTGAAAGTAAAACATGACAGACAAATGTCATTATAGATTTGACTAACTTTGAGGATTTTATGAAATTATATGAGTGAATCAATGCGTTGATTCTGTTGCAGCAGCATAAATTAAATAAAAATAAGTTAATATATATTAAATTTTTAAGCATTGTACATTGAATAGTCAATGCAAGCAATTATTATTTTAATGGTTTATAAATTCTTATATAACGATATGGTGATATTCTTTTTATCACATTGATTAATATGAATGCCAAGAGCTCTTAATACACTTTCCTTAGCACACTTTCCCCACATTATCAATAATTTTAATTTATGCATATTAGCACTGAAAACCATTGTACTTACTATTTTGCAAATAATTCATGTACTATAATATAAGGCTCGAATAAGCTATAAAATAAGTGCTCGAATAATTTTCCCGCGGTATTAGCATCACTTAAGAAATAAAAAGTAAAAATAAAAAAAAAAATAATAATAATAAAAGGCAACATGTCCAGTTTAATGTAAATTCATAATTTTGACGAAGATGCAGTCCGATAAAAAAATTCCATTGAAATGATGTCGCTTTAGGGGATCAAACAAGCAATAAGAATACCATAATCGCTCGTAATGAATATTAAATCTTCCCGAAACTAATTATAATTCAGTCTAATCAAGCGGCATTATTAGTGCTGTGAAACGTAGGCGTCTCTCTCTCCCTCTCTCTCTCTCTCTCTCTCTCTCTGACTCTCTCTCTCTCTGTCTCTCTCTCTCTGTCTCCGTCTCGCTCACTTGGTCCACAAATTAGTCCATTATACATTGCCGCCGAGGCATAAAGAGCCGTAAAGTCAAGCCGTAACCTTCAATACGATATACTAACACGCAGCTGTCAAATTAATGTAGTATCGGAAATTGTCTCTGTGGTAGAACCAGCAGTTGCCTCTGTTCTTGCACGATGTGTCCCAGACGAGGCAGGTCGAGTCCATGATGGCCCCGAATATAATGGGCCCGGGTATGAGCGCGAAGAGGGAGACGACTAAGAGGGCGATGCCCTGGGCGAGACTCTTGTCCCTCGTCTCCACGCATCTGTAGTTGAGCAGAACGTTGCCTATCCTACCGGAACAGCCGAGGATGTTGATGAACGTCGAGACGATCGAGAAGAGCATGTACGGCTGGAAGCAGTTTTCCTTGCAGGGGCCGGCGATCACCACGTCGCTGGCCGATTGTTTGACGTTGCTGGGACTGACGATAGCTGGGATGCAGGCGCAATCACCGAAACTCGTATCGTTGATGACGCTGCGACAGCCCGCGTGACAGGCCGAGATGAAGGTCGTCTTCGTGGCTTCATGGCAGACGGGCGCGTACTTCACCAATTCGCAATTGCAGGCCACGTTGCAGGGCGTTGTCAGGTTCATCCTACGCAAGGAATTTTGAGAATTATCCGTGGAAGGAGTTGGCCCCATTACCTGACAGACTGCCGATGATAAGTCACATTAATAATCGCCGTTTCGTAACATTTCTCATTCTTTGATACTTTAATGTCACGTGATTATGAATACGCCATGCGTTGCTCGATTGATAATATTTAAAATTATTCTTCTTAGAAATTAATGGTAAGCTCATTTTCATAGGTTATAAGCGCTATGTATAAGGTCGTAAGTTACTTGTGTAAGCTGCTTATTAAGGACACGCCGATATTAAAATTACCCACCCACCCTCTCATTAAGCGTAGAGTTGTTATTTGATAAAATAAAATCCTAAATGCTCTCCGCTCTCTGAAACTAGCAACGATGATATTAAATTTTAATTTAAGTTGCACGGCATTTAAGTTACAAATTATGTGACGAATTACGTCAGCCTTAGCCGCATTAATGAAACATTTAGGAAACTCACTTGAGCGTATCAAAATTCAGTCCTTCGATAGTTCCACTCCCACATCCCAGGAACATAAATGCTATCTGTCCGAAAAAGTAGCATAATCCAACAATAACGTTCCAGAATAAAAGAGGTCTAGCGGATGGCTTAAATTTACCAATAACAATTCCTGAGATCAAAAAACCAAGTACCATTCCTAGTAATGTGAGTGGACCTACGGACACGTAATTCCATTAATAAACTATCTTATAAATAGCTTAAATTAATAAATAGAACGATAATCCTGTATTGGTGTAGTATTTAATTTTATATAATAATTATTAACAATAGTAATCGATACTATTTCAATGATACTGATAATATAAGATATCGCAAGCTATATATATATATATGTGTGTGTGTGTGCGCGCGCGCGCGCGCGCGTGTGTGTGTATTTATCATAAACACATATATAGCCTGAAGAAGAAAAAAAAATACACATGATTGCAATCTAGATTTCCAATTTAAATTTTAGTATTTTTATATCTAAGAATAAATCACCTTCAATGTTATTACCCTCAAAGCAGATGTCAGCTTAGAAACAACAAAATATTATTAAATTTAGATGCGTGCGTGCGTGTGTGTGCGTGTGTGTGTGTGTGTGTGTGTGTGTGTGTGCGTGCGCGTGTGTGTGTTTAGAATAAAGCAATTATTGACATATTATTATACGATCATAGTTGCAAGTTTTACGAAAAAAATCTCAATACTTTGGTTAAAAAAAAAAAAAAAAATAAAAAAAAATATCAGAAGCTCTTTTACTTTGTGTAATTTATTCATTGCATCAAACATTAATAAATAATATTACATATCATATTAGAATCACTATAAATGAATATTTCAAGTTTGTGGTAATTAAAATGTTCGTTCTAATTTGCCAAACATTTAACAATTTAACAATTTAGATATTACATAACTCCTATTTCATTATCAACAAGTTGAATTAAAAATTTTTAAATTAATTAGCGTACATTACGATTGATGTACATTATAGATTGTAAATTCAATGTTATCATATTATAATACAGTTGAAATGATTTTATTAAAAAAAAAATATATATATATACATGATCGTTTGACTATATTTATAGAAACATCAGCCGCTACAATTTAAAAAGCTCTAATTTGTTTCTGTCTCTCTGTAACTCATTCGAAACTTTTATTAATACATACGACAAGAACATTTAATCACTCACCCGTTATTATTGTGCCTTCACCTGGCGAAGTCTCGAATTGAACCTCCAGATACTTAGAAATAAAGTTCATGAAGGAAGAGGCGCTTAGAACATAGAAAACGCCACTAAATATATTTAACATCAACAATTTATTCATTAATATTCGCTTAATCGTCTTTGGAAATTCTTTCAAAGAAGGTTGTATCGACCTTCTCGTTTCTTCGGATTTCTTCGAATTTCTTGTCGATCCAATTTTTAAAGGTACCTCGCTCTCCTACGAAAGAACAGGAGAACAAGAATATTTTATTAATTTCATATGATTACGCCTTAATACAAACGCGCGCACCTATTTCTCCCAATAATACTGCATTTTATTGTCATCTTAAGTTAATAATAAAAATAATACAAATAATACTACGCTAAAACTAAAAGTTGTACTTGTTAATGTATAGATTGAGGAATTTATTTAAAAGCTTTGGAGCACAAGTTATCGTATTGAGAGAGATCTAATCTATCGTTCATTTTAAATAATATGGAGTTTGCCATGTATTTACGTAAGCCATATGTTTTTTCCAAGCTTATGTATTGATCGAAAATGAATAATAGTGAAAAATAAGTTTTAAACGCAAATTAATAATCATTATTTCCAAATTCTAGTCATAGCTCACGCTCAAATATTCATCTTCTCTGCTTGATTTTTTCGACTTTTGCAGCTCCCGCGGAAACATCGCAAGAAGCACAGCGAAAATTGCCATCGTAATTCCGAGAATGATCCACCCAAGCCACCAAGCGCCGAGCCATCTTGGATCCTTTTTATCGATTATGGGATGCAAGCTCGGATCTATGTATATATTTAAGCAAATGTATCCGAGGACAAATCCAAGAGCTGGACCAACTGTTCGCAACGCGAAAGTAAAACCTGAAAATATTGTTTTGAATATTTTACTATTTATTTTTCGATTGCTATTTATATCCAGGCACGTTTATTAATTTCTCATGATATTTATAATAATCAAGCATAAGGATAGCAATTGCGTAGAAATAATCATAGATAGGGTTTGGTGAGAAGGTTATAGTATACGCGTTTGATCATGCATAATACATTGATCGAAATAGATTTTATTTTAATTGTTCGATTAAACATTATTAACTAACATAATCAATATAATTCATGAGCATTATTATGTTATTTCATTCAACCAAAATATGTGTTCACAACCAGTTTTTTATTGATCTCATTCCAATGTGCAATTAGTGATATTTATATAGTAGTTATATATATATATATATATACATATATATATATATATATATAACTTCAAAATACTCGATTTTCCTTATTAGATATGTTAAGTAAATTTCATTTTATTGCAAATATAAAAGATATTGCCTGAATTATTCACAGGTAACGGAAAATTAATGTTATTCAATTAATTGCAAATTTCATAGATATAGACTTCAGCAGAAAATCAACTGGCATACTTATTTATACAATTATATTTATTAACTAATGCAGAATTGTTATAAATGATCTATCGATTGATCAAGTACTCGATCCGACTACGATTTTATTGTGAAAAATTTTGTGTAAAATCAATGTTACTGTACTATCGCGACAAGAATAAAAATATTTCTCAATGCCAATCTTCTTAGATTATAAAATTATTTGTTCAATAATTCAATTCAATTTAATTATCAAGAGTCTGTTAAAGGTAAAAATATTTTATTTTATTTTATTTATTTATTTTTTTTCTTTATGATATGTTTTATAGATACACTTTACTATGTAATTGAAATTCTTCGTAAGTAAAGGATAATAAATAATTATACATACTTGAAAAATAAATTAATAACTTGGTAATTAATGATTATTAATAAATCAATTATAATTGATAAAATCAAATGAATATTAATGAATATTAATATTGAATATGCATTGATTAGGAAAGAACAAACTATAATTTTTCATAATAAGATTACATTAGCAATCATTCATATATATATATATATATATATAAGCAAAGGGGTACAAACTATCGAGAAGCTCTTTTATCTTTTTTTTTATAATCGCTACATCGTAAATAGGCATTTCTAATGTCGATTCTGCCATTTTACTCATGCAAATTTATTACTCATTGGCACTCGCTTTCAAACGTATGTCAAATCTTAATTCTCTTATTGTTATAAGAGCTTTGTTCGTCTAGTCGTTACACTCACACCTTCGAAACTCATTGCTCGTAATTTATCAACAACATTAATCAACAACTCCATAACATTGCTGATCGTAAATTGTTTGATTTACGAGTTTCGAATCATCCCTTCATTATTGTCTCCATGCTAGATATGTAAAACAAATAACGAATAAAAGAATTAAATCGTCATATGTCCTTAAGCCCAGCTATTAAAAATCGGAATCTTGACTATTGACTGCATTACTGAAAGAGAAGGCTCTTTCCATAATTTATCAAGGCCGAGAGAATTTACAAAGGGAATCATAAATAAATACCCATAGCTCGGGAAGGACCTACTTAACGAACGAATCAGCATGAAACGATGAAACAACGTGAAGCAGCAACGAACCTAAGAGCATTGGTGTATTCTTTTTCTTAGTGTTGTCGTCCATGTAAGTCTGCCCAAGGCCGTAATAGAGGGTCGTCCCAATTCCGAGGATGAACTGGGAGAAAAACACGAGGAGTCGGGGCGCGACGCTGGTGTCGGTGAGGCCGTCCACGTCGCAGCTCTCGGGTCGACTGTCGTTGGAGCAAGTCGGTAGGTTGCTCTTTCGGCCGGCGAGGTCGTCGGCGAGGAGACTAGAGTTGAGGTGCTCCTTGGTGAGGGCGAGGGCGTCCTGACCGGGGCCGTAGATGACGTGGGGCAGAGCGAGGACGAGGCAGGAGATGGCGCTGCAGCCAACCCCGACGGCGATCCATCGCGGCCTGTGCCCCGAGCCGCCGTAGTAAATCAGCAAGATCGAGAGGATCTGCGAGATCTCGTTACCCGACAGAATGATTCCTGCGGTCAATGTTCAAGGTCGGTGAGTTAAAGGCACTCGACTATCAAACACTAGGGATCTCGGAACGCGGATGATCAATGAGTTTTTGGGCTTTGCTCGGTCGTACCTATATTATCCCGTAATCTCGAGCTTTGTCAATAATATTTATCTGACGATTGCTTGTGATTATGTTTAAAACATGTAACATAAGAGTATTAAGCATTTATAAGAAATTGTTATTCTTTCTCTCCTCGGAATTTCACTTTTACGATGTATTTATAGAAGGTAAACAACGCTTACATGTTGTAAGCAGGGCTTTTGTCACCGAATTCCAAGATTCCTCTAATGTTATTTTAAAATTCGACATAACGATAATTATCTTTGAATAATCGGTGTTTACCACCAATAGTACCACCAAAGAAACATATCGCCTATCGAAATATCCGCACAAGATTAAAAATCAACGTGCAAATCAATCGACCAAATTTATCATTAGAAACAAAAAACACTGTGTATATGTGTGTGTGTGTGTGTGCAATGGCGTGCGTATAATATGCAAATGGACACGTTAAATTTGTTACATAGATGAAATTAATTCTATAAGCCGATAAAATTATTGAAATTATATTAAATTCAATTTAAATGCTACTGGAATCGCGAGATTTTTCTTTAGTTGATCAGTCAGGCAGCGTCTCATTTACTTAACAAATTAGTTCGCGGACACAAAAATATAATAGAACATTTTTTCTCTCTCTCTCTCTCTCTCTCTCTCTTACACATAAACGTATTACAAAAGAATTATTCTATTTCTTATGGTTCGACAGACTCAACTTCATATTGGACTTCGATTTAATATCGATAGTTTTATCTGCAAATCATGGTAAACATTAGAATAGATAAGATATTAGAATAACCGTCGTCCATCATCGTTTATAACAAATATTACATGTAAATGCTGTCAAATCAAATTTTATAAAAATAATAATATTTGCTTAAAAGATTAAGACAATGATATAATATTAAAATCAATATAAAAAAATCTTGATGATTTTTATGACATATATATTTTTTACACGAGTAGATCACATGTTTGCGGTTAATTTACTTTTTTTCTTTATATCAAATCATTGAAATAAAATAAACAATCAATCATTGATTATAAAATAACTCTTAATTTATCGACTCTCTCGCAAGACACTTCATTACTTAAATACTTAAATTCACTTGTTAATAAATAATCGAGTTTGTCGATTTCTTGCCATAATTTTAAACAATTACGATAATTATTCAACAGAAATAATGCGTATTCATAAGTTTCACAGATTTAAGAGGGGCAATTTTCCATGAATTCTACCTTATACGACTATTTATGATTGCAATGAGAAATGTGAAAATATCACTCTATATCGCTCATATTCTTCGCCTACAATGAGTTTCAATAAATGAGAAAGTGTAAATGTCGAAAGAAAAATATAGAATGAAAGCATTAACAAACACGCGAATACGCAATAAAGCTTTACCATAATTTATTGAACTTACCGGTAGTTCTACTAGGGATTTTAAATCTTTTTTCTAATGTTGTTAGGCTAACAACAATATAAATGAAGGCCATTGACTGTACAGTGCCGAGAAGTCCGTAGACCGCGATAAAGCTCCGCGAGGTCGCCAGATTTTGCAGACATTTCGGAAATATTCCGCAAAAGCCACACTTTGAGTTTCGATTCATCCTTTCGGCTTCCAGCCCTTTAAAATAAACATCCTTGATGAGACGGAATCGAGGTATATATATTTAGCGCGAATAAATAGACGATAATGTCCATGTCTTTTCAAAAATGGAGAAAAACTTGTTTCATCTTTTTTATTAACGAAGGCATTTCGTGGTTTTTTTTTTTTTTTTTTTTACGGCTTTTAAACATTAGATCAATTAATAAAAAGTTCTAACGTCTCATATTATTTTTTAACGAAAAGTAAAAAATGTCTTGTTAATTCTATTGGAAATTAGCGGATATGATAGATTGAAAATTACTAATCTTAGTACCATGCTAAACGTGCAAATGATTTTTAAATTATATGAAAGTGAAAAAATTGGCATTATCGAGGAAGTTTTAGCACTCTTAGGGAAAATGTGTCCCACAATCGATAATTCGTTTGAAAAATCATAGACTTTGCAAGATAAGTATTAAGCTTATGTCGTATTGTCGTACATTAGTTACTGTCGATCGCGTGACGATTGTGACTTGTGACGATCTTGTTGCTTGTCAGCGCAATCAAGTATTATACGCTAGCGCGATCGCTCCGTATGTGTGATGTGATGCACGTGTGTTTAACAAAGACGCGCAATATTGTAATTAACGTGGGCGTTGAAAGTGCACTTGAATTCGTAATGAAATGTTATTGCTATTTTTAAGGCAACGCTGTAAGCGAATTGTACAACTATCGTAATAAAAGAAATATTTATATTTGGAATTCTCATTTATTTATCACATAATGATACGAATAAATGTCAGAGGAATTGGGCGGAGGTGGGAGGGAATGGTAATCCTTTTCAAATAATATCTGCTCATACGGCAAAGTCGTATAAGAGTTCCCTCGATTTTGAAATTCTTTATAAACTGAAATGTTCTTATGTATTTGATAATTGTAAATTAATGAATAAACTGATAATATATAATAATCGCGCACAATCAGCTTTTAATGTTATCCGTCAAGATTAAACTTATCGAATATTATAAATTTTTAATATAAAAATTTTTCTCCTGTCGTTAATTCATTAATTTTAATATGGGAAAGCGAACGAGAGTGAAAATTATATTGCATTAATTTTTACATGCCAATACGCATCGTTATGAAGTACAAAATCTTATTAACCGATAATATAAATATCTTAATATTCACATTATATGTCGGCAGGTGTAAGTGAGAAAAATATTCTATTTCCATCATTTATATTGATAACAGGAGACATTCCACTACTCCAATATCTATTTATTTAATGCAGGTAAACAAGTAGTCGGTAATTTTTTAATTGAGATATTAAAAGGGAAAAAGTTCTTTTCGCGAACAACTCCGTCTTATCAGTTGAAGTCAGGATCGTCGAGTACTTAATCAATTCAACGTAGTTTAGCTTAATTTACTTCAAATTTAAATAATCCGCTTAATCATAATATCATCAACTAAACTATTTTCAAGATAAACGTAAGTGCTTTTACCAATTATTTATTGTAAAACGAGTATATTTCGTTGTTATAAATAGTTCCTTTTCAAGGACTATAATTCTCAATGACCTTGATAATAATATGTCTTAAATATATTAATACGAAATGGAGAATTTCTTTCAAATTTCTTTCTTGTTAATAAATTTTCTAAATATCTATTAACTCGCATGGTAGATGAAAAATAAAGAGTAATAATGTCATTATCATAGAAAGTAATCGATAATACGCTCTAATGCGAAACGATAATTTATATTATTGTAATAATTACGTCTTTCTTATGGAATATTAATAAAAACGAACTTGCAAATTTGTCTTTGATATTTATAAAAATTGATACTTTTTCTGCTTCGTCGATAAAATAATATTTCACTTGTATGAACGAGAGTAAATATTTCATTGCGTATTATAGATAATAAACACGTGGTAAAATAGCTTTTGCATGGGCAGATTTAATTAAACATATTTAATTGTAAGGCCCAATAATTAAATCAATCGCATATGTCCTGAAGTTAAATAAGTTTAAAGGAAACACAATTGAAGAATATTCGCACGATAAAAGCACTTTGTCACTTTTCGTTCTTCTACACCCGACATCTAATCGCTATTACTTATCTACAAAAACCTCACAACAACAATAATAACAACAGCGTAGAGTGACATCGTAAGTCCCTCGTAAGATAATTGTCTCATAAATGTCCCGGGTGAGTATGAAAATCCCGTAATGTTTTATGGACAAGAATAGTCGACCGATAAACTTTATCTGCCTTGTGTCGGCTGCCGGCAACTGAGCGCGGGCTGATTCAAATTGTCGCAAGCTCGTGCGCTTGCGTCAAGCGTCATAGTCCCTCTGTCTCTCGATGTGATTAATAGTGTCGTGGAGACATGTATGAAGATAGATGGATCTGCTGTCTTAATTTTCCTCCTCGTTCGTTTCGCATCGAAATTCATCACAAAGATCATTGTTATGGGTTACGTTGCGATTTTACTATTCGGTCGATTTGACAGCCCTTAATTAGAGACCAACTGCCTTTACTATAATGAAAGCTCCGCCCATAGTCTAGATATTTATCAATATTTATCATTTTACATTAAGTTTGCAAATTAAATAATAATTATGTGTTGTAATTACAATTTTTCGCCTGTACATTGTGTGTAAATTGTGAGAAAATAGAATATATTCACTAATATAAATTATTGGCTACTCGGCATCAACATATTTGTAATATTTTAACATTTTCTTCTCAAACTTTTCACAAATATCCAATAATTTTGTGTAAACATGTGAATTTTTATTATATAAAAACTAATCGATTACGTTAGTACGATCACTTGGACAAAACAGTCTATAGAAGATAATATTATACATTATTATTGTAATTGATTGATTGATAAAAGCATTTGACACGCCAACGTGTTTTTTTTTTCTTATTTTTAACAATAATTGTATTCGTAAAACTATTATCAATTTTTTCAATTAATATTGTAGTTATAGTAGTAACAATATATAGTAGTAATGACGATTAAAGATAATACTACGATAAATCTAAAAGGATTCTAAAAGGAGTTTATTTAAGAAATTTAACTTGTAGATTACCCTGAAAATTTTCATTTCTCACTTCCGTTCAACGAATGCAAGAATTTATCGTCTTAACGAACGATCTAACAATCGTATCGATAATGCTCCTTATGATTTTACTTCAAACTGGCGCGCTCTAAAGTCATTACTTTTTTACTTTTTGAAAATACTTTTTTACACTTTGCTTAAAACGAAGTACATCATCCCATAAATATTGCTCTTAGCAATGGCTTCGATAGCACCTGATAATGCTGAAAAATTCCATTCCAATGACAAGTATTATTCACGAATCACGATTATCGCTTATATTATTAAAAGGATATAAAAATGAGAATAACAAATAAATTGGGCGGGAGCTAGGGAAGCTTGATCGAAACAAATGTTCGCTCACGTATCGATGGCTCTTGTATCCCTTGACAAAATTACAAGGACTCATTAACAAATCTACGCCTATTGATAAAACGATATATCGAGGCTAATCAGGAGTCCCAGAAACACTGTCGTTACATAAACGCAATTATTTCTTCAGCGAGCGAGCGATAATTTTCCGCACGTAGCACCATAATGTATTGGCAATTAAAGTTCAAGCTGCACAAGCATTATCGTTATAATAAGCACGCAAGCTTCGACCCTGCACGCGGCCAACCCTGTCCTTGAAAGAGCTTCGAGCTTACGCGAGACTCACTTTGACGAAAACCGCAGGGACGTCGATGGCACGCAAGCGTTCGCCCTCCACACGTTCTCCCGGAGAACGCCTTGAAAGGTAAGGGGGCGTAAGCTATAGCTACCGAAGGCTTCTCTTTCTCTCTCTCTCTCTCTCTCTCTCTCTCTCTCTCTCTCTCCCTCTCTCTTT